CAGTATTAGTATCTGCAGGTACTACATGTTACAGTATTAGTATCTGCAGACACTACACATTATAGTATTAGTATCTGCAGGTTCTACAGGTTACAGAACCTCCATCTCTTTTTTCAGGTAGCAGCAGTAAAGAGTCTTGATGTCCTCCACCTGGGAAAGAAACAACGTCAGCAACAGGTCACGACAACGACAACGATGACAATGACAACAACGACAACAACCAACGTCACCTCTGCACGTCTGCCTCCAGTGGCTGACTTGGGAATTTCTTTGAAGCTGCTGCTGTGCAGGACCTACAAAAATAAATACATCAATAAAGATTCCAGGTTACAGTATTAGTATCTGCAGGTACTACAGGTTACAGTATTAGTATCTGCAGATACTACACGTTACAGTATTAGTATCTGCAGATACTACATGTTACAGTATTAGTATCTGCAGGTACTACACGTAACAGAATTAGTACTGCCAGGTACTACAGGTTAAAGTATTAGTATCTGCAGGTACTACATGATCCAATAATAGTATCTGCAAGTACTACATGTTCCAGTATTAGTATCTGCAGGTACTGCATGATCCAATATTAGTATCTGCAGGTACTACATGTATTTAAATATTTAAACTGCAGTACCCGGTTCATCCACCTGTGCGCACAGACTTACGCCTTCGTAATGAGCGTCGCTCATGTCCGTCTCGTCGCCGCTCAGACTCTCCGGCTCCGTCTTGGTCACCGGCAGCAGGAGGACAGGGTGGCCGGACACTGTGTTGGCGGAGGAGCCGGTCAGCGTCACGGTGAACCTCAGCAGGATGTTAATCAGGAAACCGTCAGTGACACTAACCTCCGATGAACGAACTGTCGGCTCCCAGTGGGTCGATACAGGCTCCTCCGGGGATGACCTCCACCCTGAGGCGACCGTCTTTGTGCTGCAGAACGTCGTCCTCCGCGGAGGTCAGCGACGGGGTGGCCGACTCCCCGTAGCTCCTCATGGCCTCCACGCGTTTCCTTTTTGCTGCGTAAACATCAACGTGAAGGTTGAAGGTTCAAAACTGCTTATTTGCTGTATTTTTTTTTTTTTTTGTGGTCACAGATACACGCAGTACTTTGCAGTATTACCTGTTTGTACGATGTTCTTGTGCTTGATCTTAACCTGCTGCCAGGTCCTCTTGCAGCCACTGTCTGACACCCTGTGGACAAACACGTGTAGCAGTGAGAGCGTCAACTCTTCTGGTTCAAAGTTTCAGGTTTTTTTTTCTTACGCGTTTATCTTGTCAGCGATCCTCTGCCAGGCCTCCTCCCTCAGTTTGGAAGCACTGGTGGTGTTGGACTTGGCTGTCAGGATCTCCCTCTCCTCCTCGTACAACCTGATGATCATCGCCTGCTCCCTGGTGCTGAAGAAGTGCGCCCTCTCCTGTTTCCTGATCATGTGAAAATCTGTAAAAACACAACATTTTAATCCCAGTGTCGGACTCGAACCGCGGTGACAGACTGACGCTGATTAAAATGCTTTTCCTTCACCTGCGTCAAAGTTCATGACTGCGATCCGCGGCTCGGTGTTCGATTCGTCTCCCCTCGGCGGCGGTGCAGCCGTGCACGGTAATCCGAGATGTATCAATGCTAGATTGTCTAATCAAATCGGAAGCAACGGCTCAAGCAACAGTAAGTCGGTGAGCGTCGACACCCGGGACACCGAGCCGTGGAGCAGCCGGCGGACCGTCGGTCCA